TCCCTGAGTATGTGAGGCACGTACAAGATGGTAATTCTGTGGGTGAAGTACAAGAGAAGCGCCTTGTACTGTGGGTTGCAGACGTGCGTAATCTCTACCTTTTTATTCTCTGGCCAGTAGGATGCATACACACATGACATAGACATATGATGCATTGCATGGATATTTGCCATTATACTGTTATTATCTTTTTGGAACTCATATTACTCATGTAAGTGAGCTTGGGGTGGAGAGATCCTTGAGGACCCATTGTCTTACTGAGATTTCTTGTTAGAGTCTCACCCCGTGTGGGGCACACTTTCAGGTATAGATACCTCTGGTAGCAGGAGGCCGGAGTTGAGCTGATATTGTTATGCTTCTTTATTGCCATACTTTCATATAATTATGTCTGGTTATTATTATATGGCTATTTTACTCGAGACATGATCTTACTATGTTGATTATTTGGTGAGCATGAGGATTTTTCATGCCACATTGGTATAAGTTATGTTTATACTGATACTTGAGTTGTACTTTTGCATCAGGATTTGTCTTGTCTACGTGTTGTAGCTCCATGACTTGATACTTATTTATATTACAATGTTATTCAGTGTAGTTATTTATTGCAATTCACATACATGCGGCTTTTGAAAAAGAATCACTGAGTTAATATGATAATGAATCAAAATTGAAAATGTTAGCTTCCGTATTTATTGAGTTGCGCATTTTACCATTTATATGTTTAATACACCAGGTGCACACGGGGTGGTACAAGAAGTGTATAGTGATTCGCAGTTAGCGACATAACAGATTAGTGGAGTTTATCATGCTAGCGGGAAATCATGATCAAGTATCTAGCAAAAGTGGAGGAGTTGATGAAAGAATGTAAAGATGTCAGAGTAGAACATATTCGGAGAAATGATAATATCCGGGTTGATGTACCTTCTAAATTGGAGAGTACTAAAGCTACGGGGAACATGAGGACTATAATACAGCAGAGTATTCAGGCTTCGAGTATTGTGTGGATGGTAGGAAGAGGTACTTCGATGGCTCCGATTATAGCCATTTTGAAGAAAGGAGAATTACCTGGAGATAAAAAGGAAGCGATTAAGGTGATACAGAAGGAGGCATGGTTTGTGATTTTGGAATGACAGCTATATAGAAGAGGGTTTAACTCGTCATTACTGAAGTGTATAGTTTTGCCGGTCACCGAGTAAGTTTTAGAAGAAATTCATGAAGGCATCAATTGACATCATCTCGGAGGAAAGTCATTAGCACACAAATCTATCCGGGCAGGTTACTTTTGGCCAACTATAGGGGAAGATGCGAAGAGGCACGTCCAAAGATGCGAACAATGCCAAATTTTTTCCAATATATAGAAGGCTCCCCCAGAGTTGTTCACAATTTCTTCTCCATGGCCATTTTACAAGTGGGAAATGGACCTCTTAGGCCCATTTCCCAAAGCAGCAGCCGAGATTAAGTATCTGATTGTGGCGGCTGATTACTTTACAAAGTGGATGAGGCGGAATCCGTAGCAAATATCACTGGTCGGAAGGTACAAAAGTTCTTCTTTGCGAAGATTGTTTGCAGGTTGTGTATACCGGCGAGGCCCATTTCCCAAAGCAGCAGGCGAGATTAAGTACCTGATTGTGGCGGCCGATTACTTTACAAAGTAGATAGAGGCGGAACCCGTAGCAAATATCACTGCCCAGAAGGTACAAAAGTTCTTCTTTGCGAAGATTGTCTGCATGTTTGGTATACCGACGATAATTATTACTGATAACAGGACTTAGTTCATAGACAAAAAGTTTCGACAAGTAGTCAAGTACTAGCCGAGTTAGGAGTAAAGCACCATTTTGCAGCAGTAGAGCATCCCAAGACAAATGGGCAAGTGGAATCAGCTAACAAAATTCTTACGAATGTGTTGAAAAAGAGAGTATAGTGTTGTAAAAGGAAATGGTTAGAAGAGTCAGACAATGTTTTGAGTATTCGAAATTTCTCTTGAATTGATCACGTTCTTTTTTCAACTCAGAATAGTTATGCTCGACAAACTTTAATTTGTCAGTAGCTGATTTGACGGTTTCCTCAGCGGTTGCTTTGGCAGTTTGGGCTTCCTTGAGTTGTATTTGAAAACCATGAGCAATGAATTCGGCAAACTCAGCTCACTTTTTGAGAGTTTATTTTTCAGGGTTGAAATTGTTTTTGAAGTTTTGAAGATCCAGAGGTCGGATAAAAGTTGATAACGCTCAGCAAGGGCTAGGAGAGCCATTTCAAAAAAATGAACTTCTCGGATGTCATTAGCTCAAAGAGCAGTAAACTTAGAGATGAGTTGATCCAGAGAAAATTTATCCCATTTTTCTCGAAGACCTGCAGTAAAGTAAGGTTTTATTTTTTCAACAAAATTAAGACCTTGCGATTAAGAAGCGACGACGAAGGTCGGTGGGGAAAGAGATCTGTCAGTAACAACAATATCTTTGCCAGGGTCTTCTACCCAGACACGTTTTCTTTGACAGAGGTCGCCTGAATCAACTGGGGTGTCTACATCCACTAAAATTGTATCTGCAAGAGCTGAACCTGTAGCAGACATAGCTGGAATGTCGGAAGGAGTAGTAGAAGGAGAATCCTTCTCACCAGAGACAGAAGGAGTTTCGGTCAAAGTTCCTTTTAAGTTAGATTTCTTTTTCATCCTAGCAAAAAACTTTGGATCCATGGTTTTATCTGAAAAATAGACGAAAGTTAGACACTTAATATATAATAGAGTACTAGAAAAAAGTGTTAATGTTTACTTACTAAGTTTTCTTCAAACCCATTCCGAGGAATCTTCATTTTCTAAAATGGAGCGGGGAGCAATAGAGGCATTTTCCTTTATTAATTGACGAGCTAAATCTTTAAACCACATATAAGTTCTAGACTTATCTTCAAACAAATTTTAGGGTTAGTTAAGAACATTTTTGCAGAAGGGGTGTAATGAGCACTGTTCCAAGATAATGGGAACCGAGGAAGTCCGTCTTGATCTAAGAAGAAAGCTGAAGGTGTTGCAGGGTGGAAAGAAGAAGAAGAAGCAGATGGTGTAGAAGGGAGAGCTTCAGGAATACAAATTTTGAAGTAATCTTCCTTATAGTTTTTCCAATTATCTTCAAATATAATACACCACCTGAGTCTAGGGCGAGCTTTCAAAGAAAGCCAACTGTAACGGGTACTTCCTTTCTCAATAGCGTTACGGAACACGGCAAAAAGACAAAAAAAATACTCGGGAAGAGCAAGTAAATCCATAAGCCCAGCAAATTATTTTAAAAGTTCTTAAGTAAATCCAACTGTTAGGATGAAGTTGAGAAAGGGCAACATCTAGATGACGCATGACTTCTATTTGGAAGTCGGTAAAAGGTAATAGGATCTTAAGTTCCGAAAATAAGCATTTGTACATAAAGAAAAAAACGTCATCACCTTGCCCGGAAGGTGAACAGATTCTTTCGTTCTCGTTCAACTCGGAAAGAAGTGATAATTGAGTCATGATAGAAAGGTACCGAGTGTAATGTCGCCTGCAAAGCAGTCAAATTGTTTTCGTAAGTTGAACGAAGTCCTAATGCTTCTTCGTCAACCCATTCTAAACCCGCCAAGCTGGGAGGAAGAGCAAAGCGAGAAATGAGAAGCAAACGATAAGGGTGGTTCCTCGACATGTGTCTCGAAGGAAAGGCACTGTTAGACTCTAACTCCGGAACGAAAGTAATAGACAATATGTTATCAGAATATGGTTGAGGACGTAAGGATATTCTAATTCGTCTTGAACCCGGCAAAGGAAATACAGGGGCTCTACAGGGGATAAAATTCTTATAACAAAGTGCGTATTTTTCTGGTAAAGAAGAGGTCTTTAACTGATCTGAAACGTCCTTTGAGTGAAGGAAATTCTTAGAGGTAGGTGTAGGGTCCATTATATTGAAAATACAGGAAAGACAAAGGGAAGTTATGAAGAACGCAAATAAATAGCAAGTTTTCTAAATAAAGAATAAAAAGAACAAGTATAAAAGGCGAAGCGAACTTACTTGGTATAATGTGCAACGATAATAGAGATGGAGAAATCAAGGCTTAAGGAAGCGTCAACATGAAAATAAAGAAGATGCAGTCGAAGAAGAAAGAGAAAAAGTTAAATGTTGTGGAGGGAGAAAGAGCAGATACCATAAGAGAAAATGAGAAGAAAGGAAGTGGAAGGAAAAGAAGGAACTGAAGGGGTTAAAAGAGGATACGTAAAAACTAAGCTGTCGTTTCGAATTTTGAAATGAAATGATTGATACACGTCATATCGCGCCATTTGAGAAAATCAAGATCAGTCAGAAGAGGACATGTGGCAGATGCAGAGTATAGGGGCGTGTAGCATTTAATGATAGTGCTGCTCGTTTGACCCGACTTTATCTGATAAGACCAACCCATATTATAAACTCGGAGTATTATACACTGGGGGGCTTAATGTTTTAGGTTCGTAACATGGGCTTGGTCAAGCATATTTGAGGCCTATAACTAGAGGAGGTCACAAAACTAAGGCTCATGCCCGGATAACGCGGAATCTATAGTAGGAGCCCGAAATATAGCCCTAGCCCACGCTTTAGTGGCACACGTGTACCCTTCCACAATCTTAATAATGGCACCACTATTAACTACTCTTTACGAATATAACCGTTAATAAGACCATATATAAGGATCCTATACACATGAATAAAATATAGATTACTCACAAGATTAACCCTTGAATGTTCATACCGAACAATTGCAAATATTGTTGGAGTGATAGGTAGAGGGATACCCTCTTTATGTTATGTAACACCTTTGCAAATTTTTTGTCACACAGACCAGCAAGAGAGCATGACCTACAATGTCAGCAATAAAGTTGAGTTGTAACAGGATAAACCAAGTTAAATTGCTGAATTATGAACAGTAGAAAATAATGACCATGGAAACCACTCTTATGACCACAATTTAATTAATTGTACCAAGACCAGCATGAAATGATGTTCAATACAATTCCTACTACAGTCAAGAAATACATTTTTCCTGAGGGGAAGTATAAATCCACATATTGGTGTAAACCATTAACCTTAAGAGAAGTAATTGCCATTAGCAACAAGTGCTATTATACCTGCAATCATGCTGCAAGAAAAATAGAACAGTTCCAAAGTAAAGTTGCAGAAAGACTACAGCACAACACATCAATAAACAACCCTCTGGTTATCATATCCACTCAGCTAGGAAGTGCCTTGATTCCAATCACCAAGAACTTAATGGTTTGAAACCTTGAGTTTAACAAAACTACTTTTTCAAACTCTGGACTGCTATTATTGTTTTCCTTATTCTCCTATGATCATACAGGTGAAGCACCAGCACAGCATTTCATCTTAATATCCGATTCATGCTCTGCTGCAAATTCTAAAGTCGATAAGAATGCTCTTTGGCCTGAGTTTGATGCTTGTTTATGATATCCAGATACTAGGCGTTCTGAATATTGACGTGAAACAAATGGAGAAACCAGAAGCATAGATGAGGTCACATTTGAAGTCCGAGAATCATCAGATGTCTTTTTTCCCTCTTGAACTGATTTACTATGTTTGTGATCCCGGTTAGAGAGCAAGCTGCACCGTAAATCAGTTGTAGAATCATCTGTGGAAACATTCCCTGGAAACTTAAATTTCATTCCTTCTGCCACAGATTGATTTGTGTCTGAAATCTCCTTTGAGAATAGATCAGTCTGCGGTACATTTTGTTTTGTTCCCTCACTAACTTTGCTGTGATCATCCTTATTCAGAGAACTTGCCTGCTCGGGCAAACCAAAATTGACTAACTGAGGAAACTTGACACCATTTTCCCTCATTACAAGGGAGCTAATAGAACTTTTAAAACTGCAAACAGGACCTTTACCAAAAGAAAGAAAGTTAATTCCCTTAGGTGTCACAGCTGAAAATTTCTTAGGAATTTCCAGTGTGTTTGGTGTTTTGCCAGATATACTTTGGTCTGATCGGGTTCCACTTTGGACAAGACTTTCCTTGTTTTGTGTTACCACTCCTTGTTTCGGTGTATTAGGGCTGAGTGATAATTTTGCAACATTGATGAAACTAATTCCTTTGGGTGCCCGGGTAGGCTGTTTCTGCACAGTGTCTGCCACCTTATGTTCTGCATTGATGTGAGAATGAGTTCCTGAAGAATTGGTAAAGTGATTTTGCTGGACAAAACTACCATGATTGTTAAGTGTAATATTTAAATTTATATTTCCAGACGGGTGTGGAGACTTCAACTCTGGTATGGAAACATTTGAAGGAGTAGGAATATCTTGCTTGGCTGGCACCTGAATCAGAAAGAGCCCATTTCAATTTATGCGATGATAATTATAAAATTCATATGCATGCACATTTACTGATCAATACCGTTTTTTATGTTGAGTTCATCACACAAAGTCATTTGCAAGAAGTGAAGTCATAAAGGATGTGGTACCTGGTGTGAAAACATACAAGCATAACCTCTGATACAAGAGCCTTTGGACACAAAATTGTTACAAGGATACTTGGAAAGCTGATGATCAAATGGGCAGTCATCCCCTTTCAAGCATTTTCCACGAGTAAAGTGACTGCAAGGCTACAATGTCAAAATCAATAAAAGGTTAAGTAAATTTCTCCTGATTCTTGTCATAATCTGCTGAAAACAATAATGGGGAGTAAATTTTAACAAAGGCTAATCAATACCGTGGATTTTGTCAATGGCACTGTATCATGTGAAAAATGGCACTTGTCACCCTGCCAAGTTGTTTTGGATGAGGCAAGAGAAAAGGAAGTAAGAATGATTTGATATTTCTCAATATACTGATATAATATATAGTATGATATTGCACAAACGGAAAAAATACGCTAGTTTTGCATATTGAACTGGTTGGGCAACCAAACTGAACAATTTTCAAGGGTTCAGGGCAATTCAAATGTCACATAATATAATATTGATTACAGTATTTTTACTCTAAAAAATATGGTAATCTTCTCACATAACAAACACATATTAACCACAGGATATTACTATCTTGTTCTTTAAAGAGGACTGTGCTTGTTAATCCCAAATATAAATGGACTTCATGCACGTTCTGAGTTAGAATAAATGAACATACTAATTACCATCTTAAATCAATAATTAAATGAAACATCGACACCAGAATAACAAATTATCTTATGTATTGTGCAATGACCAGATGTAAAATAATCATAAAAGTTTGAAACTTAGAATAAAGATGACGTGCTAATTACCATCTTAAATCAATAATTAAATGAAACATCAACACCAGAATAACAAATTATCATATGTCTTGAGCAATGGCCAGATATAAAATAATCAAAAAAATTTGAAACCTAGATAAAGATGACATGACCCATATATGTATAAAGAGATAAATATTTCTGAGTTTAATATAATTGAGTTATATGACAACCTCATGGCACCTTCCCTTGAGATAATGGCGACAATGCATGACAGTTTTTGGTTTCAGTACTGGAAGCAACTTCATCCTTTTAACACCTTGTTTTCTGTTCTCTTCTGCTCGCTTCTTTCGTTTCTTTGCCTACAACATAAAGTTTATCAAATTAAAAAATCAGTCACATGTTGAAAACATACAGGTTTAAGGATTATTAATCACAAATAATAGAAAATTAATTAATTGATGTTGAAATGACTTCAAAGGAGGTTGAATAAACTAGCTTCAAAATCCCATATCATAAGTTAAGAACAATAGTACAACGTCAAGAAAGAAAACTAACAACAATATTAGAAGAAATGAAGAATACCTTCTTTTTATCTTTCTTCTCCTCAGAACCAGGACCACGTTTTTTCTTTTCGCTGACATCAACCATCTTCTGCAGATTATCAATAATTAACCAAAGAAAAAATCAACATCACTAGTCTTAAAATCATTGAATAGTTAGTCCTCTTTATGGAACTCCACATAGGATGCCCAGAGCTATGGTTGACCATTAAATAATTATTAACACAATTCTGATTTTTAATTGATTTTGGCTAAAAACTTGAATAGGACATATAAATTGGCAAATGGGAACTAAACCATATAAAGACTTTGGGATATAGACATTCAACAAAAATGAGACTACACTTCTCTTTATTGTCTAGAGAGGAGGAAGAGGGACTGTTTAAAACATTGTAACCCAAGCCTAAAACAACTTCGAACTTACTAAACAGAAAATAACAAAAGGAAGGATCATCAAGGAATCAAAATCTTCCAGTCATCATAGGCAGTGCATACTAAGAATAATTTGAAAGTAGCTAAAAAATTGAAGGTTATCATTTAATATAGCAGGATGTATTTAGGTGCAATTTAACAAGGAGAAGATAAAAATGTTTCATGGCATGTTTTGCTGAAATATACAGGTGAGAATCACACCTTTGCTGCAGACGAGTTAACATGATCTTTGGTAGCGTTTTCTTCCAAGGAACCTCTGCGCAAGACTTGATTTTGAGTTAAATTTGTTGGCACTTCATTGATCCCTTTACTTCCTATGTGTCTGTCTTTGCTATTATCAGGCTTCAGCACAGAGACACATTGACCTGCCTTATCACATTTATTTGTTTCTCGAGAGATAGCTACTTTAGTTCCAAATGCAATCCCATTTTTATCACTAGTCCTAGGTTCCACATTTTCTATTCTATTTTTGGGCTTCTGAACCTCATCTACATTCACCTGTTGTAAAATTAAAGAATCTGCAGAAGACATATCAAATGAATTGTCAGCCATTCCAAAGTCTCCAGAAATTTCTCCCTCTTCTACGTCTTCTTTTTCAATCAGAATATTGGAAGAATTAATTGCATTGTTCACACAAACTAATTTGTCTAATTCCTCTCCACTGCGCATTTCATGTTTTTCTTTTAAAATAGCAGAATCCAATAATCCACCATCTCCACTCATATTCAATTCTTCACTATCTATATCCAGATCTAAAGCAGTTTGCATTGCTTCAGCAACCTTTTGACCACATTGTTCTTCCTTCTCAAACTCACCCTCTTCGGTAGTAGGAAGAGATTCTAAACCACAAACTGATTTAACCAATGCTGTTTCCTTTTGTTGACTTCCGTTCATTATACTTGATGTACTAATTGTAGAGGCTTGTCCCATTGTTGATGTGTCCACATTAAACATTAAAGACGGATGAAAGCCTTGCGAGGCAAGTTGATTAAGCTCTCCTCGTACTTGCAACTTACTTGCATTTTCAGATGTGTTCACATCAGAATGCTGTACTTGGTAATCCATCAACTCAACTTCACTGCCGCCATTCTGTTTATCATCTAATCCTGAGTTCAAGGGGATTAAACCACTATCACAAACAAGATCTTCAGTTCCTTTCACAACCAGCTCCAACTCATCCATTAGCCTCTGCTCCATATTAAAGCCATCTGCTTGTGTAGACGTTTCCTCTAATCCCATCATAAGTTCTAGATCATCTAGAACAATCATATTGGCACTAAAATCCATGACCTTGTCTCCAACCCCATCAATGGTCTCATGGACCTCCAGTATTTCCTCCTTCTTGGGCACAGGATCCTTGGGATCCATAAAACCAGAACTAACAAATTCAGAGCATTCAGGCTCCTTTTCCTGAATTTCTTGCCCCATTCTACCGCTGCCATTATCTTGAAACAGTAGAACAAAAATACAATCACAATTCACAAATATATTTAAAAAAAAAACAGAAAAAGGAATGGCAAATAAATATGAGAAGTGCGCAATTAAATTGAAACTAACAGCAATTTGATCCAAAACCAGACTAATATTTTGTTTTTTGTTTTTTTGAAACTGATTCTAATTACCTCTTTGAGGCGAATCAGAACCCCCGGTAATCGCACAGGTTCGACTCTTTGAACCGCCTATGGGACTATTCCAGAGTTCGAATGAACCAGAGACTAATATTAAACTTCAATTCCTAATCCAACTTTTAAAACAAAGTTAAAGAAACTTTGTTAAAAAAAGGGTACCCTTTTGATTTCAATTTGCCAAAAATTTAAATAAACTTAATTAAAACAAAATCAACATAAATAAACAAAGGGTTCACTTTTTCTACTGTCAATATAGATAACTCATCTACGTTAAACCCAAAATGACGTCCTGTTGACGAAAATCAAGGTATTTTTGTAATTATAATTTATTTTAGGATTATAATACTCTTTCTATTATAATTTTTTAATTTTTCCACCTAAAACGATAAAAAAAAATTAATTTAATTTTTTTTACCGAAAACGATGACATTTTGGAGATAACTTATCTGTATAAAGATTAAAGCCATAAACAAATATTAGAAATGGGCAATTAAATTGCAACAAACGGAAAATTAACAGCAAAGTGATCCAAAACCACAGCCTAATCTTAAACCCCAATTCCTAATCCAACTTGGAGCTTTAAGAAAAAGGTACCCTTTTGATTTCAATTTACCAAAAATAAACTGAATTGAAACAAAATTCAAATATAAAAATACGAGAAACGAGAAATTAAATTGAAACAAGCTGCAAATTAATCCAAAGCAATAACCAAAGCTCAAACTTGTGTTTCCAATCCAGAGCAGTATAATAATGAAAAACCAAACTTTGTTACAAATAAAAATAAAAAATAAAAAATAAAAAAGGGTAGGCTTTTGAAATACGCACCAGGAACATTGAGGGAGTGAGTGGTGGAAGCAGAAAGGTGAGAGATGATGCGAACAAGAGTGTGGTAAGTTTGGCTGCGTAAATGAGATCGACGGTAAGGAGGGAATTGAGAGGGTTCTGAGATACCCAATTCAACTTTCTCCATTGTAACCCGAAAAAGGTTTCAAATTTGCCGAACACTTATCGTGGGTTTTTGCAAAACCTCAGCACCTATTTATTTTAGGCGCCAACCGCCACATGTGTAAGTGTCGAACACGGTCATGTCTTCTGTTGTGACCGAACCAAAGACCTTAACTTAACTACACTGCTGGCTTATTGAACATTCCGATTAGGAATGATTGAAATAATAAATACAAAATAATAAAGGGAGTAGCAATTTAATTTGCAGCATTTATTCATAATTATTATTAATACCTTTTTTGTGTTTCCCCCACATGCTCTATATATATAAATGGAAAAGAATATTTTACAAATATAACAATAAAATGAATGATAATTTAATTTGTCCTATATAGTCATAATAATTATTACATTTTATTTGATTTTCCAATTTTGACGCATATAAATTAATAAATAAATTTAAAGATGACAAATTTGAATAATTTATATGAGGGAGTATAAATATTACATTTTTATTTAAGTTTTTTTCCGTAAGCAAATTATTATGTTTGTTTAAGATTGCGTTTGATGCAAACCCTAGCGCAGCTACGACATCGCCAACTCTCACCGGAGGAAGTAGACAATTTGAAGAGGAGTACGAAGAAATACAAAGGGGAAGATACTACTTTCAGTCACGTCCAAACAATGGCACCACGAGATGAAGAGTGGATAGAGGAGAATATGTCCTTCAAGGAAATGCTCATGCGCCACAATGGTGAGTGGGAGATGTAAGAAGCGGAAGAGGAGAAGCAATCAACAAAGGAGGATGAAGATTTCCACGATGCAAAGGTTGAATCGAAAGAAGGAGATAACTCGAAGGTTCTCCGGGAGACAAATGGGGAGGGTAGGGTTAATTTTAAACTATCAGATGCATTCAAAAAGTGTGCTTGGAGGCCATGGAAGAAAGCAATTTATGTAAAAATTTTGGGAAAAAAGCTGACACTTCCTGTCATGAAGAAGAGGATTGAGAATCTGTGGGCAAGGGAAGGGCAAATTTTCATCACGAATGTGGAGAACAACTTCTTCTTGGTAAGGTTCACTGATAAAAAAAGATATGGATTATGCCCTTTCTGCTGGTCCCTGGGTTTTGTTTGATCATTATTTAGCAATAAAATTGTGGGAACCTGATTTCAAACCATATTTTACTGAAATTGGTCGTATTATGACTTGGGCTCTCCTTCAAAAATTTTCTGTGGAATATGTTAATATTAACTTGCTCAAAGAAGTAGGGAATTGGCTAGGAAAATTTGTTAAAATGGATGCAGCCACAACCTGTTTAGCCCGAGGAACTTTTGCACGAATTTGTATTGAGTTAAACCTAGGCAAACCTCTACAGGCAGATTATAAAATTGAGGGAAGATTGAAGAAGGTTGAATATGAAGGGTTACATTTGGTATGTTATAATTGTGGTCAACATGGCCATCGTTCTGAAAATTGCCAATCGAAGACTAGTCAATTGGTGAATACGTCAGGTGAAGCAAGCATAAATCATAGTGAGGAGGGCTAGGCAAGTCCAGGAAATAAAGGAGAGGATAAATATGGCCACTGGATGCTCGTTAATAAGCAGAGGAGAAGCAATAGGAATGGAACAAATCAGGGAGTTACAAAAAAAGATACATCATCTTTGATAAATCGACAGGATGAGAGAGCTAAAGGTTCAACATTCATTGCCCTGAATAAAAAATGAAGAGTCAGAAGATCAGAATAAAATAAAAGAGAAACATGGCTATGGGGCATCAAGTAATATCTCTACGAAGTATTTAGAACCAATAGTGGAAAACAGAGAAAAGGTTGTTATCCAAATTATTGAAACTTCTACTGCTTATATGTTGGTAGATGAAAAATCGGGTGAAGAAATCAAATGTAATGTTCACAAGGATAAGTTCAGAGAAAAATATGTAGAAGGAAGAAGTCAAAAGCAAGAAATTGAAAAAACTACTACTATGGTAGTAGATGAGCAACCTATCCAGGAAGATGATCCAACTATCCGAAGCCAAAGGAACTCTTATTGTAATCATGAAGAGCTCTCTTCAATCCGAGTCCCATTTTTGTTCGAGAAAGAAAATAAATCTTCAAAACAAGAGCTTCAGTCTCTAGATGATTTGAAGAAACCTGCATCAAAGCCTCCTGATGGTTCCATCGAAATTAGAGAAGTTTCCAACATACAAGAAAAGAGTAATTCTTTGACTCAGCCAAAGATGGGGAATAAACCAAGAAATCAAAGTAGTAGGTATTTTCAAAACCTGCTAACAATTTTACTAGTTTTTAATGTCTTTGCTTTTTTGGAATGTGAGAGAAGCGACCAACAAGGATTTGTGGCATGTTCTGAAGTTGAAAATTTGAAAGTATAGAATTGATTTGGTTTTTCTACTAGAACCAAGAACTCAAAGCCTAACCTGTCATAAGCTGATGAAATTTGTTGGGTTTGATGGATTTTGGTTTGAAGAAGCGTATGGGTTTTCAGGAGGTATATGGGCTATCTGGTCATCAAAAAATTTGTAGGTTGATATTCTATCACAAGCTAAACAGTATATGCATATGAAAATCAAGATTCAGGGTTAGGCCCATTTGCTTTGTACTGCCGTTTATGCTAGCCCTCGGGAAGCTGAGCGGCATCGACTCTGAAATGAATTGAGAGACATTGGAAATAATTGTTCGGAGCCTTGGACCATGGGGGAGATTTTAATGAAATTGCTAGGATGTATGAAAAGAAAAGGGGTAGTCCACCTGACCAGAACAAGTGTGCTTTTTTTAGTTCAGTTCTTGATCACTGTAACATTTTTTATCTTGGTTACAATGGATCTCCATTTACGTGGCAAGGCCCTAAATGGGGTCATCTGGACAAAGTCTTTAAGAGACTAGATAGGGTGGCTGCCAACATAGCTTGGAGAATGGAGCTTGAGGAGGCTAAAGACACAAATTTACCTAGATTACAATCAAATCATAATCCTATTTGCTAGACTTATGCGATATAAAATCTGAGTAACCTAACAGACCCTTCCGTTTCATGGCAGCTTGGCAAGATCACCCAGATTTTAATCAGTTATTTGGGTCAACGTGGAGTAATTCTTTTGATATCCCTTATATGCTTCAACGGTTTATACCAGCTGTTAGGGATTGGAACAGGAGAGGTTTTGGGAATATACAGAGGGAAAAATTGGAACTAATGAAAAGATTGGAGCACATCCAAAATCAAAGAACTCAGTTTGACTCGGAGAGATTATGTAGGATGGAAACTGTCTTCCAAAAGGAGATTACACAAATTTTAAATGAAGAGGAGAAAAACTTTGGTTTCAAAAGTCGAGACAATAGTGGATTAAAAATTGGGACATAAACACCAAATTCTACTATCTTTGTATAATTGTTCGTCGGAGCAGTAACAAAATAATAAGGTTAAAGGATGATGGGAATAGCTGGATTACAAGTCCAGAGGAGCTGAAGAACATTGCCTGCAATTTTTACCAGAAATTTTTTATTGAGGAGAATACAAATAAAAGATGGTTGAACTCAGAAAATGTATGGCCTCAGATGACCCATGCAGACAAATTACAATTGGAAAAAAGGCCTTCTCAAGAGTAAATTCATAGTGCAATTTTTGACATGGGTAGCCTTAAAGCCCCAGGTAGAGATGGTTTCCCTGCTATTTTTTCCAGCGAAATTGGGTAGTGGTGAAGGATCAGGTGTATAATCTTGTAAACTCTGTTTGGGAATACCCTGAAATTATCTCGTCCATCAATTCAACGCTATTGGTTCTTATCCCAAAGAATCAGTCACCTTCTCACATAAGCCAATTTAGGCCCATCTCCCTCTGTTCGGTTATTTATAAAATTAAAACAAAAATTCTGGTGTTCAGGTTAAAGCCAATAATGATGAAGATGATTTCACCTATTCAGGCCATCTTTGTCCCACATAGGCATATTCAAGACAACATCATAGTTGCCCAAGAAATCATTCATACAATGCATCGCATGAGAGGGAAGAAAGCCTTCATGGCTATTAAGGTATATCTTGAGAAGGCTTATGATAGATTAAATTGGAATTTTCTGAAGAATACTATGCAGGAAATGAGTTTATCTCGGAAGATGGTTAACATTATTATGCAAGCTATCTCTTCATCCAAAATTAATATTTTGTGGAATGGGAATTTGATAGAGGATTTTCAACCTTCCCAAGGCACAAGACAGGGTGATCCACTTTCACCTTATCTTTTTGTCATTGGAATGGAAAAACTCTCCTATATAGTAGATACAATACTCATAGGGTTTGTGGAATCCTATTAGAATTGGAAAGGAAGGGCCTCATACATCTCACTTAATGTTTGCTGATGATCTAATGCTCTTTGCGGAGGCAAATGTAGATCAAATTCATGTCATTTTAAAGTGTTTAGATTTATTTGGGGAAATCTCAGGTCAAAAAGTTAGTGTTCAAGAGGATGTGGCAAGAAATATATCAGAAATTTGTAATTTCAAGAGGGTGAGGAATGTAGGGAGATACTTGGGAGCTTGGATACAACATGGCCGAGTCAATAAAGAATCATACAAGGCAATAGTGGACAGAGTTAATGAAAAGCTAAATGGTTGGAAGTCAAATTGCTTGTCTCAAGCAGGTAGAATCACTCTTTCTCAGTCAGTCCTTGCTATTATTCCTTATTTTCAAATGCAAGCTGGTGGTCTTCCTAAATCTATGTGTATGGAAATAGAAAAAATTCAAAGAAAGTTTATTTGGAATGATAAAGACGATAAAAGACACACGCATCTAGTTGATTGGGAAACAATTACTAAGCCAAAGATAAAAGGTAGTCTCAACTTAAAGAATCTCAACATCATGAATGAGGCTTTCATGGCTAAACTAGCTTGGGAGGTTTTTTCCCTGCCTCGTGCCCTTTGGGTTCAAGTGCTTCGGGAAAAATATGCTCATGATAAGGATAATGTCAATATGTTCATATCAAAAACAGGGGATTCTAAAACTTTGAAGCAAGTTTGCAAT